TATATATAGTTATTACATTTTATTTTTTTTCCTTAGAATTTATTTGTTTTTTAGTAGATAGTCCATCACAAACCTCAATCCATACAGTAAGTGGCGGTAATCCTACTAAATGTTTGTTGCCAACCGCCAATAAATCCAACAAGAAGAATGTTGCTCTCCTGTCATCATGTGAGATCAGCTTGAAAACAAACTTTAAAATGTTGATGTTACAATTCATAATCAAGCTGTGGTTTGACTGTTGTACATTTGTAGGAAATAATAAAAACAAAAGTTGTATGTTTTCTTTTATTGTAAATCCTATTTCAACTGTTGGCTGTCGTTGTAGACGATACCCATCTTTTTAATGTCGCTGGTTTTGATGCCTTAACTAATCTATGTACCAAAATCAAAGTAGCTACAAAATGAAGTGGTTTAAATTTTGAAGCAATGCTGCATTCAAATCTCTAATAAAACATTTCCCCTGTCTCTTGACTTAATGTTTTTCTTCTTTTTTTAATCCAGGATGGTGACTGATGTTCAGCTGGCAATCTTTGCCAACATGCTTGGAGTGTCGTTATTCCTGCTGGTTGTGCTCTATCATTATGTTGCTGTGAATAATCCCAAGAAACAGGAGTAGATTTCACTACAATGACTGGAGAAGTGAGTGTATTTTAACTACATTTTCTATCAGCACGAAGTCACCCACTGATTAAAGTGTAAAGTTGTTTTCTTTATTAAATGCATGGGGGGGTAAAGCTGGATTACAACTTTTAGAATTAGAACCTTAATTTGTTTTTCCTTTTACCCCCTCAGGTGAGATAAGAGTCGGAGTCCCAATCTTCCCATCCAGTTCACCTTTAGAAGATGTTCTGTTGCACCACATTGTTTTATTTCTAATAAAAAAAAAATGTTGAATTCAGTTTTATCACGGCCTCAGGCTTTTTCCACACTTGCGTTCTTCAATATTTGTAGGAATTATAAACAACAAAACTAACCCTTGTGTGTCTATATATGAAACTTATAGTATAGGGCTATTAGAGGTAAAATCAATAGAAATGTTATGCCTTAAAATGTTTAAAACACTGCTGCTATTTAAGATTTTGAACTGCTGAAATTTGACTGCTTTTAGTATTACTTCTGGCATAGGGAGGTCAATATCAAGTTATTTCTGTTGGCAGCCCTCCATAGACCCTTCTAGATTTTCTATAGATACAGTTGTCCACAAGATATTAAAAGCTCAACTGCGTGGTTTAAAATACATTTAGATTTAATTAAGTCCAATATTATCTTAATTTAATATTGTTTTTGCACCTTTTATGTTTTCCTTCTGTCCAACCTTCCATTATTTTTCAAGCAGCACTGGGGAAAAAGCCAGATAATTACCGCGGATCCTTTGTAGCTTTGCTAAAACAAAGATGTCTGCAGGACAGATTTCCCCTTGATTGTCTGCACAAAAACAGCCATATTGTCATTAAATGATTTATTGATAAATAAGTAACCATTTTCAAAAAAAAAAAAAAAATATATATATATATTTGAATTCATTTACTGGGATACATCTTCAGTTCTAATTTGAGATTAATTTTGCAGTGTGTATATATATATATATATATGTCACAGTTTCTTCAACATAGGAATGTTTATACAGCAGTGAGAACTTGGGTGGTTCGTTAAAACAATACAACTCTAAATGCTTCTGAAAATACCAATGTCACATTATTAACTAAAAAGTCCAAAGGAGGGAAACATCCTTTCAGAAATAGTAGCACAAAAAACCAAAACAGTCCATTTTCTAACCATGGTTTAAATGTAACAAAGGTGCTGCTGTGCTCAGGTTTGACAAACAAATGATTGATAATACATGTCTAAACAAGTGACTTAAAATTCAAGCACAATAGTGTTGGTCAATCAGAGCAAATTTCTTTGCTCAAAAGAAAACCGATTAAACAAAGTGTGAAACGGTGGTCGGAGCTGAAATGTTACAGGGATATTTCAAGTTTATTCTTCAGCTCGAAAACAATTTATGCTGCACTACTCCAGCTGCTGTTTCAGTGTCGTAAAGAAAGGCACTTGGATCTTCAATGGCTGCTCAGCCATTCAAAAGGTCACTAAATCCGTTGTATAGCATATTTAACACTTAAGAAATGACAGTTCCTCCTCTTATTTGAAATATTGGTTAATAATTTGGAATTTTAATGTGAGCTTACAGTTGGCAAAAAATAAATACTGTAGTTTAGTCTATTTGTGAGCTCCTGGACCTGGGTGCAGTGTCTAAGCTTCTCCACACAGGGTCGCTGTCTCACACATGTTGGCAGCCTCTGGCCCCAGCATAGCTGGACTCTCCTCAGCCTAAAAAAAAAAACCAACACTTTGTCAGGTTTTAGATATCTTATGCATTTGACTTTGCCTGAATCTTAACATGTAGATCCTCACCTGTTCTGCAGTTCTGTCCATCTCCGCTGTAGGCACAGTGATGGGTTCTGTGGTGTAAATTGGATTCTTCTCTGTGTCCTTCACTAGCAGCGTTCTGGAGGCCAGCTTTGAGGCACCATCCTTTTTGGATAAGCCTGAATAGTAGAAAAATGTTAATCAAGATTTTTATTTACATCACAAGTTTTTACTCCAATCATGATGATACAGTTTCAACAATATGGAGATATCATCATAGTAATTGGGATGTGAATATGTGTTAAATGTAACCTTAAAAATGAAAAACATACCAGTATTTACACCAGGACATCAATTACAAAACACTACCTGGACAGTATCCCCTTTTCACCTTTTGTTAAATTACAGCAAGTAATTCTAGCATTTTGCAGGTATGTGACAGAACACCACAAATTGAGGAGCAAATTTGAAAGGGTAAAATAAAACTATAAACTAAATAAAAATTATAAAAGAGGCATGTATTTGTTTCCAGATTACTGTCAGACATTATTTTGCAGATCCACCTTTAATCATTACAACTCCAAGTGTTGGACAAATCCCTAAAAGCTTGATATATCCTAAGACTAATTGGCTATTCTTCTTAGCAAACTAGCTCAAGCTCACTCAAAATGGACAAAGTAAACAGATGTTCTATATACCGGCTAGGTTTCTTTTGAAGCAATTGCCTGTACTGGATTTCTTTTAAAGGTGTAGTGGAGGATGTTCTTTTTCCAGTTGGATCATCAAAATAAGTGGTCATCCTAATTATCAATCATTCTGGTCATATGTTTATGTAAGGCCATCCTACAGTATGTGCTCGTCCTCATTTTCACTTACCGGTGGTGAGTCTGACATAGTCGAAAAATTGCAAATCTTTTGGAAAGTAAGCTTGTATGAGCGATGCAAACAGCAACTTTGAAACAGAGCGTGCACCAGGAGAAATGAGCTCGAGCATGCTCTCATGTGTTTAATAGGCGTTCCCTCTCTGAAGCGGGTACAGGGTTGTGCATGTACATTTTTTTTTTTTTAAGTAGAGAGGATGGGTCTTTTAAAAAAAAAAAAATTGGGAAAATCCTTCACTATACCTTTAAGGGGATCAAAGCAGAGATAACTAAATACAAATTCTTTCCAATTATCAGCTTTTTTGGTGTATTTTATTTAAAATATGTTGAGGCCTGCTGTTGTGACTCAGAAAATGTTGAGGTCTGAACACTTTTGGAGACAATTCATGCATAAAAAAAAAAAAAAGAATTGAGGAATTTTAAGTTATGGAAGCAAAGAAAAGCAAACATGGTACGTGCCTGACATGGCCAGATGTCTGTGGAGCCCAGGTCTGAGCAGCTTCAGGACTTTCATGCTGGAGGCCACCTCACTGTCTCCAGACGTGGAAACAGAAGCTTTAAGGTGTGGGAGGGGAGCCTCAGAGGACCCTGCTTTGCGGATGGGGATGCGGCTGGTGTGCGGCTGCAGCTCGCACCTAGGCGGGCAGGAGAGGAGTTATTAATCACACAAGGATGATTTAAACCTACAACTCTTTGACAAAAAAAAAGTTAGAAAAAAAGTTAAATTAGACTTTTTTTTTTAAGATAAAACTCGTTTAGAATTTATTAATAATTTATGTTTCAAGAGTTAATTTAAATGTCTAATTCTACTATTTAATCTTGATTTAAGAAAGACATGGACAGATCATTTCCCTTCCGATTACCTTCTCCCCCAGATTTAGTGCTTCTATCTTGTTTCAAGACGCCCATTTTTTTGCAGGAAATCCCAAACTGTAAAAAAGCTAGACTTACTTGCTGATTTTGAATGATGACAGGATATGTTGAGGCCGCGTGTCTTTAGACGTCTGTGACAGATCGACACATTGAGAGAGGACTTAGAACACAACGGAATATGGAAGCTGTACATAGCTAGCGTACAAAGCAAAGAGAACTTGCTCCTCTGGGTCAGCAAACCTCTCTACAGCTCTCAGCGGAGCGATGACTGACTGCGACACCTCGACAGCTTCGGCCAACACGGCCGGCACGCGTTGGGAATGGTGCTCTGGACCAGCCAGCCAAACTGGCTCCTTCAACCTTAAAATCTGGGCAGCTGATGCCTGTCAACAACAGGAAGGGACATAAATACAGGAAAATGTGTACGTTTAACATCTTTGGCACGTTTAAACCTCTATAGCCGTATCATAATTCATGTAAGCCTTCCAACGAGCAACCAGGTTCCTGTTTTTTGATTTTCAGGAGGTTCCATATTTTATTGTGGAAGTTGAAAGACATAACATTTAAAAATATAAAATTTGATAATTATTACATTGGTCAGAGGACTTGCACACTATTTACTTTCACAAATGGACTTTTCTTTATTCAAGAAGTTAAACAGTAACGCAATAAAAGACAGCAGCACATTCAGTAAGAGGATATTAACCAGTCGTTACAAGAAAAAAGACATCTGGTGCAGGTTTGCAACGCATTAAAGAAAATGACACAATTCTCACAGAGATTATAAAGCATAAACATCTAACTATGCATACAGTGTTTCCACCTAAAGCTAGTTTTCTTATTTCAAATGAAGACGGGTGCACCTTGATGTCAAAACAAGTTTGGACACAGACATTAGAATTCACAGTGAGAGTAGAAATAAACTACAATATCTAATCTAATCCCATCCTGCGCTCATCAAACCTGGGAGCACCGGACCAACAGCTTCCCCACCCGGTTCAAATCAGTAGAAAATAGCTACATGGAAATAATCGCCTCAAAGAGAAGCAGAAGAATCAAACACTGACCTACTTCAAGCCTTTTGCTCATTTTTCTTAGAGTGGAAACTTAACTTAAAGCCACATATAGAGCATGTTTAAAACAGAACATGTTTTATATAGTGTCTGGATTTATCACGATCAAAGATCAGTGAAAACCCATAAACCAACTCTTCTACTGCAGTAGTACGATGCAAAGGAAAGAAAAATCCAACCTTAAATTTTAGCAGATGTACTCAGGGAGGAAAAGGATGTCACAATAAGGAATAATTGCTTCCTTTGACGGAAATGTTGGATCTACTAACAAAACCATCAAAATATAGTTAACTCGAATATTTTAAAAGAAGCATTTATTTTCATTTTTTCTCCTTTTAAAGTAGATTAAATTTATTCGGTAACTGCTAATTGTAAACCTCTACTTCCTGTGTTTCAGTGGCATAAACTGGATGTCAGAGAGGAGCACGTTTTATCTCTCTGCTCTCCAATAGGCTGGAGTATAACCCATTTTAAGGTTGCTACTATGCATAGTGACCATAATGTAACAAAAAAAGCACATGGGAGCATGTTAGGGAAAACCATTCACTCCAACATAAGTATATAAAACATTTTGAAACCAACTGAGACCTAAAAGAAAAAATAAACTATCAGATACCTCTAAGATTGAG